AAGCCCAAACCTTTTTGAGAAATCAAATTATCACAAGCTGACTCGTTGGTATTCTACCAGTTCTTCTCTTCCCTTAATTTCCCCCGGTTGTCAAAATTGATGGTTCACATTGTCACAACTAGAATGATGTATACAAGACACCGATGCACATGACATTCAAAGGGCACCCTACAAAATCTTGTCATGCATTCAAAGTTCACAATCAACTAATGCACATCACATTAAAGGGGCACACTCAACTTCGGTGTTGATGCATTGTCTTTTTAGCACTGAACAGTAAATAGAATGAGAACAAACAATACCAAATTAAGGCTATTGTCAGCAACAAATAGAACGCCCTTTGGACATTCACTTGAACAAACTGGAGTGGCATGCGTGGAAGGCTGAACGGAGATGGATGTGAAGGAAATACTATGTCTTGCAGTTTGTAATAGCCAAGGCCTATCACTTAAAGCAATTACATCAGTATCAAGAGAGTCACTTAAAGGAACCAAGCTAGCTGGATTAATGCCTATACGACGATATGCAATTAGTTGAAGATGAACGAAAATAGTGTCCCTCGTCTTATCAAGCAAAGTCGAAGCAGATGTAGGCATGGCCCTGTAATTTACAGAAGTGGTGTGTGGTGCAGTGTTAGTACTTGGCAACTGAGAACAAGTGAAATTCTGCACGCAAGATGATTGTACAGCAGAAACATTTGAGGTAGAAGCCCACTCAAACCTGAGCAGCATACCATTCCTTAATCCTGAAAGAACATATGGCCGATCAACAAGTATAAGCCTTACATCTTGAGGAATGCAGTCAGTTACGGTAGTTCCTAGAGTGTTAGTAAGTAATATTGATCCTACAGCAACAACTTGAAGGCCTTTATCAAACGAGAAGGATAGAACTTCCACAGAAGGCTTGTGAGTACCAATAATAAAAGTATTACTGAAGTCAAACTCTGCTTGAAGAGAAACGATAGGGGCATTGTTCGCGTTGCTCATTTGGGACACAAATGGTTTTACCTCAATCTGTTTCTGAGGGATTGAAATGCAGGACAGCTCATCCTGCAACCTTACTTGTTGCAATTGGTACACTTCATATTTGGACGCTGACAATGATTTGAAACCAAGCACGTATAAAAAGCATGGGTTCGAAGTTGCCACAACTATCACATTGTGCCCAACTGCTCCCATACTAATTGTAGTATCATTAGGCGACCATGTTCCAGGGGAAGAAGCTTCAGTGACACCTTCAGGATTTGCAGATGCAATAGGCACACACAGTCTAACAGCATGTTCGTGTATTTGCACCACTAAACCATCAGCTATCAGACCACATGCCAAGGTGCAGACGTCAGGCTGGAAACCCACAGCGTCAGTTACATCAGAAAAGCTTACCCCAACTGAAAGAACTCTGGTTTCTTCAACAAAAGACAGCACTAGGAAAGAATGATAGATATCAGTGACCTTCATTTTCACAGTCCAAGTGCCAGTTATTCCTTGATAAATGGGAGCAGTTTTTAACAACTTCTCCACACTGATGCCACTTCGAATGATTCGCAAAGATCCTTCAGGTGCCATCCCACAGCAAGCAAACATTTGATCTTGTTTCTCATTATGGTAGTCCACAACTGACATATCCAATATCGGTGCAATGTTTTGGATTGGACTTGTGTAAACTAGCCTGCCGTCTTCCAATTTTAGAACCATCCCGTCACCCATCTCAACTATAGCTGCTATAAAATCAGTCTCCATCCACAATAGCACCTTGGTTGGTATGCCTTGGTAAAGACAGTCAGATAAATTCATTTTGATTCCATCACAATCTGAAAAGATCTCAATCATAAAAACTTGCCCGGTATCAGCACAAAAAATTATCCTTGGATTGTTTTTATTTGCAGAGTCCCAACTCCATGAGCTTACATAATTACTGCCTGATTTGATGATGCTTTCATCATCAATGTTCATTGGATCGCTTTTGTTTATGTCACTGAGCTCCAATAGTGCAGATGCAGCAACATTATACATACCTTCTTCATCAATAATATCTGAAATCCTAATTGTAGGTTCAACAAAATTCTGCTCTTCAACTGAAGGAGAGAAATTTAAACTTATTCTATACAACAAATCAGGGTTACAAGCATCCCTGCAATCCATTAGGATGACATCCCCATCCCTGAACAGAACCACTAGTCCATAAGAATACGGAACTTCAACTATATGATGTGCAAACGGTGCAGGTTCCGCATTCTGATATATCACATGGAGCAAATCCTCCTTAACTTCCCATTCTACCAACATAAGCTCACTCCTATACGATCTCTCCCTGAAGTAGATAATTTATAGTTTTTATTAATAGTGGGAAACTTTATCAACAAAAATATATTACGGCAAACAAAAAAAAAGAAACCCAGTTTTAGTAATGGAGAAGTTTTACATATATGGATTTGGCGATCATCATACCTATTCAGAAGAACTGCTAACACAGGGTTGTGCTCCTTACTTGACTGGTGTAGATCTTTTGAGATAAAGCACATACTCCATATGGTACCACAGAAATCAGTAACACCATTTGCATTCCTGATGTTCTGTTGATTGTCAGGAGGGCAGCAGATTTTCTAATACCATTTAGCAGCACTATGTCAGTAACATTAAATAGCTATGCCCACTTCAAATAGGTCGATAACACATAGAAAGTAATTTGAGAAACATAACCTTCTCAATAATATCATTGCCACCAGAAGTTGAGACAGAGAGAAGAGCTAATCTATCTTTATATGCGCTAGCAGCAATAAAACAGCCACTGCATAGAGAAAAGTAATATCCTACATAAATAAATATCATATAAAATCCAAGTCATGACACAAGAAGGGATAGGTAGTGTTTACTGTTTACAACGACTGAACTGGTTACACATCTTGGACAAGGACGGTACTTACTTTGAATCAATTGCTAACATCCTTCCAATTTGATTCATTGAATTTCCATGACATGAGAGTTGAACATGCGACAGCGAGAAAAACCTGTATCAACAATCAAGTCCTGTAAAAGTAAGACTTGGTGGAAATAATAAGATCCAAAGCTAAACTTGAAAACATGAGTTTATACCTATATGTAGCACCTTAATAGTCTTAGAGAAAAATAAATATAAATATAATAGAGTACCAAAAACAAATGTATTCGATTTCCATAAAAAGCAAAACCTGTGCATTTCATTGCAAAATGCAAGAAATGATAGCTTTCCTGAATCGGACAAGACAACCAGAATATCCTTTCCATGAACCTACATAGAAACAAATAATAGAATGGTGTCCACCCATGTAAGGAGATAAATCTGACTAATGAAAGAAAAATAACTAAGAAAACCTGTGAGTTTCGAGAACGAAACTGATCACTCCAGGGAAGAATAGCGAGGTCTTTTATGGTGCCAAACACTGGCTGCTCACATATTGATTGTACAATTCCGCTATCATCTATGACCACCAACTCTAAAGATGTCTCCTGAATAAAATGCCTAGCATATATCAGTCATTAAGCTAACATGCTCAACTAGCACTCGAAGCAAGGACTGCAATCAGTCAATATGGTATTCTACCGTATCCTCTTCTCACATTCACCATGCTAAAACTAATGAATTGTCTTAAGCATAGTGACGTTTACCAATCCTTCAATTTGTTAATTCAAGGGAGGCCTCGATCTTCGCCAGTCCAGGAACCTCTCCAAATGGGATACGTTACAGCTAGGTTCAGACATGCCAGCACAGTCTTTTGTTGTATTCCAAAGACCCCTCAAGCACTTTTTCATATTCTTGCTCTTTCCTATTATTTGTCTCCTCAGCTAGGCAGCCCGAATGCAAATGTTCAAATATATCATATAAAAGGAAGGGTCTGCATGAACTCTATTCTTGTGATGTTAATGAATGCCCAAACGTTGTTTATAGCAAGCATCAAGGATGTCTCTGTTTTTGTTATCCAAATTGTGATTAAAAAAGGGAAGCCCAGTCACCCAGTGCACGAAGGCATTCCTACAAGGCGAGTGTCTGAGGAAGGATCCCACCATAAGGGTGTATGAGGGGCAAGCCTTCCCCTGTCAAATTTTGACAAGAGACCGCTCCCAAGACTTGAACCCGTGATTCCGTGAACTCTCAGAGGTCACACAGTAACACACTAACACCATAACCAGAGCGTCACGGCTCCCCTTCATTCCGAACTGTGATACGCGTAACTTTATAATTATTATAGTTCATTCTTCATTATGGAAAATTCAAAAGTCAGTCTGTTTCGTGAGAAAGCAATATCTAGTATCTACTGATATGCTGCAGCCTGCATGGGTCACCTCAGGCTTCACAACTCAAGATTTTCATCATCTCTCGTGCATGTTTTAATGCATGCAGGGTTTGGGCTCGCCCATATAATTAAACAACAAATATCTATAATTGCACTGGCATTTTGCAATTTTAAACTGAGGGCTCCTTTGGTAATTTGAACATTAAAAATATAGTCTAAAGATACTTTTAATTGGACTGGTTTCCATCTCAAACAGTCTCTTTGAGCTTTAGTACAGGGGTAAGACTGCGTACATCCGACCCCCTTACCCCACATAGGTGGGAGCCTTTGCGGCAGTGTGGTAATGATGATGATGGTTTCCATCTCAGGCCAAACTACTACAGCTGTAAATTACACAGAATTCAGACATCTACTAGATAAGAACAGACTTAAAGAGACCAAATCAGAACATTTTAAACCAATTATAACATCCTAAATTGCACCCAAAGTAATTGCTAAAGCATTTTACCACTCTCCTACAGTCCTGCTAAAACCAAACAGCGTAAAGCATGTATTGCTTTCGCATCTTACCAAACATCTCACAAAACGCTCTCTAAAAAGCAGAAACGAAGATATGAAAAATAATAACCCCACTCATGGAAAACACAGAGACCTTGCCGAAAACTGCGTCCTTGGAAGAAGAAAAGCGGATGTGGCCATAGACGACTTGGAGAACAACGCTTCCTCTTAGTACCGTCTTCGCCAAATAACATCCACCGTTCATGGCTGCTGATCGTGACCTGCAGGTACTCGCAGACGCAGACGACGAGGAAGATTCCTCCTCTGAAACTGCCATCTTCGATGACGTATAGCCACTATTGTATTCAGCTCGATGGATTCCGACCTGAACTCGTTCAATTGACTGTTAATCAAATCCAACGGAAGATAGGGTTATCTGTTTTTGTATTTTAGGTATAGAAGGGTGGATACTGGATAACTTATCTCGTTTAATTTACTCCCTCGTTGAAACTCAGAAAGCAGTAGCTGTACAAGTGTCTCAAGTTCACAGTTTATTCAGTTCGCGAGGAAAGTGCTCTGATTCTCTGATTACGCACGCCACTCGCATTTCTCGTTGAGGAAATGAGGATTTT